CGCTCAACCAACGAGTGACTACGGTGACTTTAATTTATACAATTAAAGCAAACAAATATCTATTCAGCAAATCTGAACATCTCAAGTCTCCAGCAGTTAAAAGGAGTCATTTTATATTCTCAGTTTTATTTACATTTTTACTTTTTATACTTTAAATGGTGAGAATACGGCTTTTTTTGTCCTCAAAAATCCTTCTGCCGTATCCGTAAAAGACTGCACCTTCCATATTGATTACTTGACTAAAGTCTGGTTAGTTAAGTAGCTGTTCTATAACTGGGCCAATCAGTTATGTAACTGATGCCTTGGATTGAATGAATAAGTACGATGAAGGCTCCCCGAAGACATCTGTGGAAATAGGTCCACACTGCCGCGGAGAACTGAGTTAAGACTTGAAAGATAGACCCCCGAGGAGCCTACTGTAGAGGTATTGTATTATATGTGAATCTGTGTGTGTGTGTGTGTGTGTGTACGCATTTGTGCTTGTGTGGGACAAAGGGGAAAGTTCTCCATAATTTATGTCCTGCAGTTACGCAGCTGTGGAGCAACGATTGGGAATTACAGTATGATATGAGCAGGAGAAAACTGCTACAGTGAAACCCTGATGAAAGGAAAGATAAAGAAAAACAGAGAGTGAGCGGGCGAGGGAAACACGGGAGTGAATATCTTACCATCCCTACAGAGAGCGGTCACTATGGGTGTGATAAGACAAAGCAGACCACAGGAACACTTAATGTGACACTGATGGATGTCACACCAACTAAAGCAAGGAGAGCAGATAAAGATAAAATCATTTCTGCTTTATGTGCCCTTCACAATTTACCCACGTTGGCTCCAATCTACTTTAAAGGCGGTGTTATACTTTACACATCTATGAGGATGCCATTGTCTGAATCCACACCCACATTAACTACATTTTGTCACCAGAGGATGAATGTGACACTCTCTGTGGCTGTCCACGTGCCCTTCGATGTCTGTGAACCACGCAGACATCACACTACAACTACTCATCTATGCATCTATGAAAATGCCTGATAGGAAGGCGACAGTAATTCCATTAACCACTTGTTACAACAAAGGTGTGCAGAAGAGCATCTCTGAACACACAGCAGAAGACCACACCCGAGTGCCACTGCTGTCAACTAAGAACAGGAAACTGAGACTACAGACTGAAAAAGTGCTGCCTGGTCTAATGAGTCTTGGTTTCTGTCATCATCATGTCAATATGAACCAAAAGCTAAGACGTATGTTTCCAGCACCTTCTTTAGGCCAATTAAGATAGCTCTGAAGGTGAAAGTGGCACAACCAACTACAAACAACCTGTACCTAACAATCCTGTGTGTCACTGATGTCAATAATGCACTGAAAAAAAAGATTTTACACCCAAAATGATTACATGTAAATTCCCATTTAATTTTGTTACATAAGTGCAATGTAAATATTCAATATGATGGAATCTGGTCAATGAAATGTACTTTTTTGGCGTACATTCAGTTTATTCCAAGCATATTTTCCTTACTGATTAATTATTTGAACAAATAAAACTTTGATTTTTATACATTTCATTTGCATTTTACTTCAAAAAAATATTGTGTCATGTCTAAAAAGTAGAAGACATTTTTTTTTTGTGTATAATCATTTCAGATATTGTTGTTTGTGTATCTTGTTTATGTTCGTGACCTCACAAACTCGTTTCTCTAGCCTCATAGTGAGCAGTTGAGATAACACAGTTCAAACAATAAACCTCAACTGATAGTAACAAATACCTTTTATTGATTCTAACATTTCGACGAAATGGGCCACTACACTACTTATTGATCGTGCTGACAATTGTAAAAAATAATGGCTCCTCTGATAATTAAATAAATGGATATTATTAATACTCATCATGCTGTTGCTACATTATGCCAAAAACACATAATCTGTGATTAAAAGTTAGTTTTCTGCTTTTGAGTAATCACTTAAACTCTCATTTTCAGCCTAGAAACTTCTTTTAGGACTCACTGTGCTACATTCTGAAAGTGAAAATAATTTAACTTCTAGACAGGTTGAAAAAATGAACACATCAAAGAGAACAAAGAGCCTCTATAGACTAATCTGAGTTGAGCTCATTCCTCCTTCCATTTTGTGTGTTTGTAGTCGTGTGTGTGTGTGTGTGTGTGTGTGTGTGTGTGTGTGTGTGTGTGTGTGAGAGAGCCTGAAATGTTCTCTGCAGGCATAACTGTGTCAAATAGCACTGAATCCACCCTAAAGAGTGCACGTTTGGGTTGGGGGCTTCTCTTTTTTCTCTGATTTGGCTCTGCTGTGCTGCGAGACTCATAACTGCTGAGAGGATTTCCACAGCAGAGGGGGAGCAGTGCTGGTTGAAAATGTGCATTACCGCCACACTCAGCCAACTAACACTCATGCACACTTTCAAGACCATTCATTATTCATTACTCCCCGCTGCCTTCCACAGCCCGAACTCGGTCTCGTGCTCCGAGCTGAGCGGAAGCGTGCTCCGGATTCAGCGTACGGGCCTGACTCAGGAGTACCGACTGAACGCTTTCACAGCATCATCAGGACGTGATTCTTATTAGAAAGCGATTGTTTAATGTGTTTCTAAACTTGGAAGTGTTCTCATAACCTGCATCCTGCATGTTATCCAGGCTTCCTGTTTCCTGAGTGAGCAGAATGAATCGCAGAAATGAGCAATGAAAGTTGGCTTTTACTGTCATATATAATCACCTACAGTATGATTTACAGATGAGGAGCAAGGAAATTTTTTTAAATCAGCTTTTCCAAACAACCTAGTCTTATTTTATTTACTTACATTATTTTACTTTGCACATAGAAACAATCCCGGCTTATTCTTGTTTGGCAAATTTCTCCAGCTCCTCCAGATTTGATGGTCTTCTGGCATGGATCTTGGTCTTCAGGTCAGGGCTTTGTGCAGGCCAGTGAGCTATGTTAACTTTGGTCAGCAGGAGCGACGTATGTTTTGGCTCGTTGTTGTGCTGAAGACAAAGGGATGACTCAGATCCAGTTTTGCTGCTGACTGCTGGAGTTTGTCACACGTCCTTCTTTCTTCATGATTCCTTCCACCTTAATGAGATTCCCAGTTTCAGATACACTGGAGCATCTTCACAGCATTTTGCTCCCATCACCATGCTTCACCGCGGGGATGGTGATCTCTGGATTGTACGGCTCTCCCTTCTTTCTCCAAACAGCTGTGGTTTCATCTCATCTGACCAAAGGATGTGTCTCCAGTAAGCATAATCTTTCTCCAGGTCGTCTTTGACATACTTCCATGTAACTGTACGGTGCGTCTTCGGCAGAAGTGGAATTTTTCTTGGCCTGTACCCCCTCCTTTGCAGGGTTCTAGTGATTTTCTTCTTTGAGACTACAATTCCTGAAAAAGTCATTCACTAATGCCCTGGCAGTGGTTCTGTGGCCTTTAGACGCATCTCTCACAAGTTTTCTTTTCAAAGTCTTGGAAATCTTCCTATTTCTGACAGGCTTGTTGTATACGACGTGGCTCTCGTTGAATTTTTTTGATGACACTTTTGGAAACTGTGATGTTGTATAGCCATCTCCTGCTTTGTGAGCATCAACAACTTTTTCTCACAAGTCTAAATTGATGTGTTGTGTTTTTGGCATGATGCTTTCTCAGTGACAGCTCAAACCCTCGCTAAAGTTTTTATACTTTGTGCAAATAGCATGCTAACCCTGAATTTTAATTAGATTATACAGGCATTGTGCATTACACAGTTAAAGCACATCATAGTACAGCAGTGGTTTGTGCTGTAGCTCAATGAAAAGGTTGGGTTTTCAGGTGGAGAAATATTTTTTTAATGACATATTTGTTATTTTGCACAAATTGAAATAATTGATTCTTTCTAAAGAAATGTATCATGTTCAGAAATGCTATGTTAAAATTACTCGCTCTAGTAAAAAAAAAAAACAGTTGGGAAAATTTCTAATAAAAAGCTTTTTCATAGCAAGGACTAATAATTTTGTCCCGTAATTTGCACTCTGTAATTAGTTTCCTAAAAATATCCAAGGTAATGCAAAGCTGTTGAGCAATATAACTCCAAATAATCTAAGGTCTGCCATCATGAACTTAAAATAAAAGAGTGTACCTTAAATTCTAAATAATAAGCAATATAAGTGTCGTGAATAAATGCTAAATCACACAAATACAAATATGTATTTCTTTGTTATTATATACACGTTATTTTATTTTAGAAATCTTATGCACAAAAATACTAAGAGGTTAGTTCAAGTTCATACAGTGAACGATAATCTCCTTCCTTCCTGGGACATCAACATCTGTCTGAAGTCTGTGACCTTGAAGAGTCCCCCCCACCACACACATACGCACACACACAAACACAAACACACACACACATACCGTCTGTATTCTCACACAAATACAAGTGAAGCAACAGTATAGATCTGGATTTGAGCGGGGGATTAGGGGAAGAAATGCACAGACTAAATGTGAGTAATGCCACTGAACTTGCCTTTCAAGCTCCGGGAGCACATTCCTTTGCATGTTACCCTGAGAAACAGAGAGGCACAGATGACTACTCTGTGACATCAAAAAATGTTCAAAATGTTCAAAAGATGAGGTGCCACGCGTCCTTCCAGGATACACTACCTCCCCCCAAAATGACCACGCATTTAGCCCGGAATTACTGTGAGTGTTTACGCGCGACAGCCCAGGAAAACACCTCTCATATCCACTTGCGCGCTCCCCCGGGTTTAGTAGTAGGCTATCTTTATCTGTGGCGTCATGGATTCTGGGGTATCCTCAGTAAAGACAGGAAAAAAGTCGGCTTAGTGGGCGACCAGAAAGTGTGTGGTGCATCCACTGCTTTCAACTCGTGCAGTCAACTTTCCCGACATCAAGGAATGTGGGTGACATATTCCCGTCTCTTATGACAGAGAGCATGCAACAAGAAACCCCCCTCCCAGCAGCCCGCTTCGTTTCCAAACACCCACGGACTCGGACAGCTTACCTGCTCCACGCAGCACGTCGACAGTACGCGGACGCTGAATGTGGATCCTCGCTCAGTATCTTCAAACCGCGCTCCAAAGCCTCACATAGCAACACAAATAAAAAAAAGCCCTGCGCAGATCCAGGTCCTCTCTCAGAGCAACCCTCACTGTCGTCCTCCTCGGTCACCATGGGAAAGCGCGCCATCTTGCGGCCGATCGGATTGCGCGGAGCAACAGGTGTATGGAGGGAGGGACAGGTGAGGACGCTGCGTTCAGAAGCCCTCGGAAAAATATGGAGATTATTTCAAACTCAGCTTCAGTGGTTAAAGCGATCTTTAAACAGGACTCGCTTTTTGTGACACGATTAGTTAACCCAATGGTTCATTTAAAAAAAATTAAAAATAAAATAATGCAAAAACGAAACAAAACAAAACAAAGAAATCATATGGTTTTCAAGCGTCAGGCGTGGCCAAGGTTATTATAGTTAACTAAAACTAAACACTAAAACTAAATGTGAACAAATCTTTTCAGTTAACTAAAATAAAGATAAAAACTAGACTTTTGAAAAAAATAAAACTAATAAAATTATTTAGTGAACTTGGAAAACTAACTATAAAAAATATAGAGGACACATCAGTTAGTTTGGCTAAAAAAATTAATAAATAAAATCTTGTAACACCTGTACTGATTCTGATTCTGATTCATACAATAAAAGTAAATACTAAAATTGAGACTGAAAATAACAGAAACTAAACTACAATTCAACACTTTCAAGCAATAAAAACTAATCTGAAATGCCCATATCGGATTAGAAATTAAGTGCCAAATTGTACTTCAACTGAAACATATTACAGCATATTATTGCTGTTATTACAGGTGGGTTATTATTAGTTGTGTGATGATGGTTGTATTGTATATGCTGGTGTTTACATTAGTTTTTGATAATATAAAAATGTAATAAGGAAGAAAAGTACGGAAGCGTAGAGCTGCCACCCAGGCAAAAGAAAAATACAAGTGTATCACGTTATAACGTGAAAAGTTTATTGTTCTAACAAGATACTTTTCCTGTTTGTACAATATTCTATCATGTTTGTACAATATACTTTTCACGTTTGAACAACATAATATCACGTTATTGTTGATATTATGTTGTTCAAACGTGAAAAGTATATTGTACAAACAGGAAAAGTATCTTGTTAGAACAATAAACTTTTCACGTTATAAAAACTTTCACGTTTGCCTGGGTGGCAGCTCTACGCTTCCGTAGGAAAAGGCTTGTAGCAAAGGCGATATAGTTTTTCACTGTATTGACGTCATTCATTCATTGCTCTGGTCAGTAGATGGTGGTATTTTCCCAGGCATCGCGTCCGGCGTGAGACTTCATTTTGCGGTGCCTTCAAAATAAAAGCACATGATTTTGTCTACTTCATGGAGCGATACGTGAATGAAGTACATAAGAAATGAATGGGAACTATTAACGTCAAAAATATGTATTTGTATATTATACACGAAAATACATTCTACTGTGGCGTTGAAATAAAAACACACATGACTTTTGCTATAGCGTATGTTGTTTTCGTAAATACGTACCTGGGTACAACTTTGAAAAAATGTTTTCTACATAAATATATACAAATTAAGTATCCCAGTTTACAAAAAAAGAGATATTATTTTTAAATTAATAAATAGCCTGGCATTATATTGTAAATTTCTCAAGCAGTATTAAATTGTCCTCAAAGAGGATTTTACTTTGAATTCGCACCGGATGTTGCATCTTATCCTGGTCCGCTTCACACAGGAGACCGCTGATGGTGGACGGAGAAGCTATCCGTAATCTTTTTCAAAGGGCTTGAACGTGTGAGGATGCTGGTGAAGTTTGTACAAACTAGCAAACAGCCTGGAGTCTTTTACGAGTCCGTTTTAGTCAGGTGAGCGGTCACTGAACTTAATTATGTTTTTTGTATGTTTGTTTGTTTGTTAGCATCTCTTCCAAATCCGTTTAAATTAGCCTGAAACATGATTGCGTCCACATAAACACCACAAGTGGCTCTCTGGACAGCTGTGAGCGTGGGTAGGCCAGACTGAGCGTGCACCATGAGCAAACTTATCGCTTACTGACGTATTTTTTAAAATGTAGACGTAATTACTGATTTGGGATGGACCTAACACTTTATGTTCTTTCCTCTGTAGCTTCCACAGTTTTCTTTGTTCGTTTTGCTCACTGTCTGTTTTATTTTTCTGTCTTTCAGACTCGAGAAATGACATAAGAAGTCTGTTTGTACAGGCAGGTAGTGGTGCCACATAAATCTGCTTTCTCCAGGCTTTAGCTTTGTTGACAAAACAAACACACCCAGGCTACTTAGAAAGTTGAAGTAGGAGGAAAAGGAGGAGGAGGTAGAGGAAATCAGTCTCTCCTCATGGCCAGCGGGCGTTTTCCAGGCAAGAGTGCAGATGTGGCCATCAACAACTGGACTGCTCCATCTCAGGGCAGACCGCTGTGTGTCAACGGGACACCATGGATCCTTTACCTGCTTGAGGAATGTGTGGACAACATCTGGGAGTACTGCAGTGTTGTGATAGGACTCATATCCATGTTCTGTTTTTTGTTGTCCACGATACCGTGAGTAATTACTTTGATTATTGTCGGCTTATCGTGCAACCAGCTCAGCCAGTCAGAAATGTTAACGTCTTATATTTGTCTTTAATCTGACTTGCTGGGTCTTTCCAGGCAGGTCTATGAGGCCTATCGGAATGGAAAAGTGGAGGAGGCCATGTCTTTTGGGTTTCTCGTCTTCCTCCTCAGTGGAGACCTGACCAGCTTCGCTGGATGCTATCTCACTAGCCAGCTGCCCATTCAGGTGAACACAGACAACTCAGCCTGGCCGGTTGAGGTCTGCTGGCTGTGCAGTGTGAATCTCTATCAAGATTTTGAAGGGATAGTCATTATCCTGATTTTCTTTTTTTCATTTTACTTGACATTTCTCTCTCTTGATTTGTCCCACTCTCAGGTTGTCACAGTGGTGTTTTACATCTTCACTGACTTGATTCTCGTCTCCCAGTTTCTCTACTATAAGATCAAAAACAGCTCCAGCAGAAGTGAGTCCTGACACCGCCTCTGCTCTTAGGTTAAACCTCTGGCAAAGCATGATGCCTGGTTTAAATACAGCACTGTGCAAAAGTCTTATAACATAAAGAAGTGATGGGTAACGCAAGACTTTTGTGCACTTGTTATGTAGCATTTTCCATCACAACCATCTCAGGGGTTTACAGAGAATGGTCCAAAAAACAGAAAGTATCCAGTGAGCAGCAGATGAATGGATAAAAGAGATTGTTTCGAGTACATAAGAAGACAAATAAAGTAACCACATTACAAACAACACATGCAGAAGAGCATCACCTTGACGCAGATGTGCTGCAGCAGCAGAAGACCACACCGAGTACAGAGCTAAGAACAGGAAACCGAGGATACAGTTTACATAGGCTCAATAAAACTGGACAATCGCATCGTGGTCATGCAGCAGACAAATCTTCAGCAACTGTGTGATCCTATAGTGTCTAACAATGTGTAAGAATTCAGGCAGTGCTAATGGAAAAATGGGGTGAATGTCTAATTACCTCCACCAAGGAGGTTGTGTTTTTGGTAATGTTTCCGTGTGTCTTATTTATAGCTCCAAAAGTTTTGAATGAGTTGTGATAAAACCTTGCAGGGGTGTAGAGTAGGGTTTAATATTATACAATAGTTATTCAAGTTATTTATATCCAGTTATCATCCTACTCCTACATAATGTTTGTGTAGTCAGTGTAAACATCTGTCGTACTGCCCTTATCTGATGTGCACTGCTCTGCAAACTTCATTGGGTAGTAATCTTAATTGTACTGTTGCCTAAGCAAGACTGAACCTACAGGTACTGTTTTTGTTGTTGCTGGATACGTCTGTTACTGAGTTTGTGTGTGTTTGTCGTTTAGAAAATCCCGCGCTGAAGTGGGTGTGCTTCATGTGGTGTGGCGCTGGGACTTTAGCACTCCTGGCTTTACCCAAGCTCATTATAGACAACGGTTCACATTTAAACACTCAGGTAGGACGCAAACACCTTTCCACTTGAGATTACCCACTCTTCCGTAGGTGCAGCATTAACTCTTTTCTCTTTATTTCACTGTTATCTTACCCAGAGTCCAGCCAGCTCCAAGTCAGTGGAAATCACTGGTTATGTATGTGGATATTTGGCATCTGTTTTCTACCTCTGCTCCCGTTTTCCACAAATCCATAAAAATGTAAGTAACTTTTTTTTTTTTTGGACTCACTTTATTCTCAGAAACATGGTTTGTGTGTTTGGATTGGAGGTTTGTGGAAAGCTCAAATTACTATGTATGAGTTGGTCATAAATGGGGATGGAGAAGATGGTGAAGTATGGATATTTGTGAATATTGCATGTGTGTCAAAATGAAAGCCAGGCGTTGAAGACAATGGCGCTGTTGTGCTGAAGAAACACATTGGCTCGATTGCAGCGATTAATCACCAGAGGGGATTGTCTCAGTAGCGTGCCAGTGCCAGAGAGACTTCTGGGCACAAAACATGGACTCCCATGATGTTGTAAATCATTTAGGTCGCTTTTGCCCCTGTGGAAATGTAAACATGTTAGAGCACGTCCAAAATGTCATTCCAAGTCTACAAAACAATTAAAACTGTTGCTGTTTAGGATTCCCTTCAGGGTTTCTCTCACATACGCTCACTTGTTGCCTGACATTGTGGGGGAATAATCAGCAGGATATTCATACTCTGCTGCTAAACACTTCTTCAGGGACGGACTGAATTTAGCAGCGACAGCAGAGTGTAAAACTCCATTTTATCTTTCAAGGTTGAAATGTGTCTTTGGTTTCTTAATATCGGATGGATGCTGCCTTTCCTCATCCTTTCAGTGATAGATGCGATGAACAAAGCCAGCCTGTTTATGTGAAGCACACATGCTTCCTGCTGTTTGTTAGTAGGATGAATTCGCTGTTGGCTGTTATCTCTTTTGGGGATTTGTTGATACCAATAAAGCAATTCAATAAATCTAGTCTTATCCTTTAATCTTGTTGAGGTTCTCTGTGTCTGTTTGTTTGGAGTGCAAGTCCACTGAATTGAGATTAATGTAAGTG